CATCTTTAATACCTCTGGGTTTAAAGAGGTGTTCTAAAATCATGAGCTAGGCAGAAATTGAGTTTGTAATCTACTGATCTCTAGTCCCGGGCATTATCCATTATCCACCTGGCTTGCTGTTACAGCTATGGCTGTGTGTAGAAACAGAATGGCATAGAGTGAGATGCAGTACAATAACCCTTATAAAGGAAATAAGTGTGTGGTATGTTAGGAGCAGGTGAAGGTAGGTCAGGCATCTGTAGGTTTTTATAATATCTATATAATGCTGCTATCTGTCAGATCAAAATGCAGAAAGGGATGTTACCAATATTCCCTCTAATCTTTTCCATCCATGTGTGGAATAAATTTTATGTGCACAGAGGTATGTGCCAATGTGCACCACCAGTATAAATACCAACCTAGCTGGTAGCACTCTTTATCAGGTAGGCGGAATTTGAAGCTCTCCTAAGCGACTGCACAAGTGCACAGCTTACAGGGAACACTGTGTGTAAGTACAGGGTATTTTTTTCAACACAGTCCAAATTTGGGTGTAACCACTTTTTTTTAATTTTTCTTTTTAACTCCGTTTGAGGTTTGGTTTAGTATAAAACTCTGGTCACCAACCTGTTGATCGTGATCAACTGGTTGATCGTAAGGTCTCGCGAAGCGTTTGGCCCCTCCCCTCCATTTCTTTCCCCCAAGAAGCCCCTCTATCTACCTCCAGCGAAAATGGAGGTAGTGCTGGCTTCCTGCCGGGTGGATGGAAGTCCTGAAGCTGCGTGCCACTTCTGGGGGTTCCGGAAGTACGCTGGCTGTTCCCCTCCCCCAGGTCTGTGGCATGCCGGGAACTTGCCGGGGAGAGGGAGTTAGCCCGGAGAAGGCGCACACAGGGGCTTCCCTGCACTGTGGGAAGAGGAGTTGGTCCTGGAGGAGGCGCGCACCGGGGCTTCCCTCCTCTGGCGGGCAGCAGGGAGGAGTCCTGGGAGGAGGCTGCTGCAGGGGACTCCCTGCTCCCACTGGCATTCTGTCCCCTGCTGCAGAACCCTCTCCCCACCCCAGCACCCTGTCCCCTGTCCCACTGGCACCCTGTCCTCTTTCCCAGCACCCACTAGCACCCTTCCCCAGTACCATGTCCCTTGCTCCCACCAGCACAGTTGGGGCCACATTTTGTGAGGCTTGAGGGGATTTTGGAGGAGTGTGTTGTATGGGTTTGGGGGGGGGGTATTATTATTTTTATTTTTTTTTTACTTTTTTGCATCTCCGTTGTGTGGCCCCAACTCACTTTTCTGTGGGTCAGTGACCCTGACTCAAAACAGGTTCCCCGCCCTTCTCATAAATAAAGACAATGCAGAAACTTTTTGTGTTTGACATAGGCTTCATTTTTAAATAAAATACTAACCAACAAACCACCAATTGGGGCCAACCCCCCATCTGGCTGCAGTATTATAACACTCCTGCACCCCCCAGACTCTAGATCTGAGCCTATGATACACTGCAACCTCCTGCCATGTGCCCCTCACATACTCCAACCCAAATTCCTGCACCTTCACAGCCACAAACCTGTGGCTTTCTTTGTACCCCAACCCTCCCTCCGCAGCATCCCTTTCTCCACCTCCACCCAGATTTCCTCCCAGAGCTTGCACCTCTCACCCTTTCCACACCCAAATCCCTCATTCCCACCCCAGAGCCCACACATCCTGTCTCAACCCAGCGAGGGTACGGCTAGACTGCAGGAGTTTTTCCGGGATTCCAGAGATATCCCGGAAAAATTCTTCCGCATCCAGGGACGCATTTGTTCTTATGCTTTTTTTTACTGGAAGCGTAAACATGCTCTTTCGGTAACCCTATATTCCTCGTTCCATGAGGAATAAGGGGGATTCCGAAAGAAGGGGTTTTTCTAACATTTTGTCCAGTCTAGACAGGCCAAATGTTGGAAAAATCTCTTCCTACAGAAGAATTGGGGGAGGGGGGGAGGTAGTAGTCTAGAGTATAAGGGCTGGGGATAGCAAGTGATGGAGAGGAGAATAGAGAGGGCGGGGCTTCAAGGAAGGGGTGGGGTCTTGGGGGAAGGATGGGGCGGTAGATTTTCACTTGTTCTGAGATTTTAAAAAGTGATCTTGAGTGTAAAAAGGTTGGAGACCCCTGGTATAAACCATTCAGCATGAGATGATAGCAATTAATAAAGAGGATTTATAGAGTTGTATGTAAAGACTTCATTAGCCACATCTGCGTTGTTAATAATGTAAGCTGAAAAAAAAGCATTTCCTTCCTCAAGCAGAAGCCAGTGAGTACATTGTGAGAGCATGTCCTCAGCTGATAGTCTGTGCAGCTCTTTTGAAATCAGTGCTTGTTTACACCATGGCTGTGTCTACACTGGGCCACTTATTCCGGAAAATCAGCCGCTTTTCCGGAATAAGCTGCGAGCTGTCTACACTGGCCCTTGAATTTCCGGAAAAGCAACGATGCTCTACTGTACAAAATCAGCCGCTATTCCGGAAAAACTATTCTGCTCCCACTCGGGCATAAGTCCTTATTCTGGAACACTGTTCCGGAAAAGGGCCAGTGTAGACAGCCCAGTAGTCTTTTCCAGAAAAAAGTCCCGATCACGAAAATGGCGATTGGCCACAGACGCTTTTCCAGAAAAAGGGCTTTTCCGGAAAAGCAGCCTGCCAATGTAGACACTCCTTTTCCGGAAAAACTGAAAACGGAATAGTATTCCATTTTAAGCATTTCCGGAAATTCATGCCAGTGTAGACACAGCCCATCTGAGAAGCTGCCAATGAATTTGAATGTTTTCTTTTGGCTCCAAGCTTGAAAAGGTTTCACAAGCTACTTGCAAAATCAAGTAAAAGAATATTTATCGCTTCAAAAAGAGCTAAACGCTCATGAGAAATTTAATTTATTTCAAGGTTACAAAGAAATACTTATAAAAGTGGAAAATAAATAGCTTCTTCGCATTCCCAGTGGGCCTACTTCTCTTGCACCACACCACAGGGTCCTGCCATAGCTACTAACATAGAGTAACTGAGACGAATGCTATAAAACCCCCAAAGGACTGAGAGTGTGTGTACTGGGAGCATAAAGGTATCATATATCTCCAAATTCTACAACAAAAGCCTCTTAAAACAGTATGATTTGTGTTGGCTTAGATTCATTATAAAAAAAAAATGTGTTGATGGTGGCTCAGTCTTCTATAGGATCTTTGCTCCTTAATACCTTAATAGTGTTTTTCTTTTCCCTGAGGTGCTGAGAGCATGAATTTCCCTCTCTGATAGTTGAGGTAACCATTCTGCCAAGGGAGAATGGCCAGGACTCGCTCCATAATCCATCACTGCCCTTCCAGATTTAAAATGTCAGGAGCCTGTTGAACAAAGCAAGGTGCTTTCCTCCCCTCAAATTTGGAGTCTACTGCTCCATGTACGTTGCAAGGGATTAATCTGGGAACTGGAATTACTCTTATGTGAAAAGGCATGGTAAATAGCCCATGTGAGCCAGAATGTGTTTATCGTATAAAATGGAACCATATCAGTGCATGAACTGTTGCATTCTCTCCAGAAAATAAATCAGAAATATATAACCAACACAGAAGAGTTCAACACCCTCCAGAAGATAGTGCTCCATGAAGTGAGTGCTGAGGTAGCCCACGTTAGAAACTCGGCAACCGAGGCCCTTTTGTGGCTAAAAAGGTAACTCACTAACCTTCAGTTTAATTGTAGGTATATAGGATGTTACTCAGATCCCTTCACCAATGTAGATCAGGTTCAGGAAACAATTCTTGCTAGTTTCTTTGCCCACCTGAGTAGTCCAAATTCAGTGCATTCAAATTTAACATCCCAGTCATGATCCCAATATTGGGCATAAGGTACATCTGGATTACATCCCTCTTTCGAAAGAGGGATATAAATTAGAGATATTGAAATTGCAAATGAAGCCGGGATTTGAATTTCCTGTGCTTCATTTGCATAATCACACCATAGCGTTTTTTCAAAAAACGCTATTTTGAAAGTGAAACCTCAGTCTAGACCCGGTTCTTTCAAAAAGAAAAGCTTTTTTTCTAAAGATCCTGTACAGGTTTACAGGAAAAAGGCTTTTCTTTTTGAAAGAACCGCATCTAGACCATGGTTTCACTTTCAAAATAGCGTGTTTTTCAAACAAACGCCGAGATGCGATTATGGAAATGAAGCACAGGAAATTCAAATCCCGGCTTCATTTGCAATTTGGATATGTCTAATTTAGTCTAGACATAGCCATGCTGTGCGCAAAGTCGAAGTACCCTCTTTCCTGGGGAAATGACTGAATAGTCCTCTTGGATAACTAATGTATCCTGCCTCATCTCTTGAGTCATCCAGAAACTCTGGCTTTTTTTTTAAAAAGTTAAAAAAAAAGACAAAGGGATAAGTAATGGATCTATCTCTTTATCCAGATGAGGAATGGCAGGTCAATATTGTGTATGGTGTTATAAGTGAATAGGTGAGACTTCCCTTGTGTTTTTCTCTGGGCATTTCCACCTAGGGCAAGGGACAGGGGTTCTGCTCACCATGAGCAGCCTTTATTAATGTCCCATTTTGGCCAAAATGGTTTAAAGCTTTATGTGAAACCGGTGATTTTGTGTCTATGTATGTAGGGATGTCATACACCCTTCCATTTCACTAAGAAATTGTGGGAGCTGTCTGGTAACTAATATTTTGGGTGTCTTTCCTCACAGAGGCTTAAAATTTTTGAAGGGATTTTTGGAAGAAGTTAAGAATGGAGAAAAGAATATTCAAACAGCTCTGAGTAAGTGCCAATTACCTTACTGTTTTTTCCTTACTGTATATTAAAACTTTTTCTGTGGGATGACAGAGTGACATGATGCATCACTCTGCGTCCCACAGTCCCTCTCTCTTCCCTCCACCTCCCTTCATCCCCTGTGCTCTGGAGAGATGAGAGCCATGCATCCTTTCCCCTCTCCGGAAGGTAAGGGAGAAGTGGGGGGGGGGAGTGCCAATTACCTTACTGTTTTTTCCTTACTGTATATTAAAACTTTTTCTGTGGGATGACAGAGTGACATGATGCATCACTCTGCGTCCCACAGTCCCTCTCTCTTCCCTCCACCTCCCTTCATCCCCTGTGCTCTGGAGAGATGAGAGCCATGCATCCTTTCCCCTCTCCGGAAGGTAAGGGAGAAGTGGGGGGGGGGGGGGA